AGAGCGTCTTTGTCCGGATGTGGGAAGGTCGGCGCGGATTTCCGAGGCGGCAGGGGAGCAGTTTATAGGTCAGAGATGGAAAATGGGACTCCGGCTCAGTGAGGACACCCACATAGACCCGAACAGAACCGGAACAGAACCCGAACAGGACCAGAGCAGCCCGTCCATCTGGCTGTGTGTGAAACAAAGCTGGCAGGGTCGCGTTTTCTCTCCTAATGAAAGCAGCAGCAGAGCTGATCAGCTGCACGGAGTTATTCTAGATATGTTATGATTTTATAATATTCTATGTTATATTGCTCTAGATGTGCAGCTGAATGTGTTCCAGCCAGGAAACAACCTCATGAGAACCAGATCTAGAAAAGCTTCCCTTGTAAATACTCCCGTCTGCAACAGGAAATGTGTCTCAGAATTTAAACTCCATTTTCCTGCAGAGTTGCAGAAGTTGCTCTGCAGGGTTTTGGAGAACATCTGATCTCTGCTGGAGGCTTTTCAACCTTCTTTAATCCTTAAAAACATGAAGAATTTCAGATGTTACTCTAATAAAGTGTAACTCTTAGGCTTTTTCTTGGTTTGATGTTAAATCCTGTCGTTGAGGAAAATCAGAACTGTGAGCGTTTCTCGTGGTTAGTTGAGGTTCCAGGAACTTCTGAATCATCAGCATGTTGCGTCAGCGCTGACATGCTACTAACAGATAACCAAGTTACCCATCTGTCATCTCATGAATGCAAATCACTGCATTCCACCACTTTCATTAAATTAAATCACTGACTGCTGCAAGTCGTTGTTCCTCAGCAGAAAGTCATGAGGACAGAGTTAAAGGATCTTTTAAAACCATCTTTAGGATTAAAATAATCGTCATGAATCTCTTTAAACCTGTGTGGTTGTGTGTCTGTTAGTTTCCTCGTCATTAAGCGAAGCGTCTCCAGTGCAGCCATGTTGGTTCGCTGCTCTAAATGAAGGTAAAGAAGGAAGGATGAATCAGAAAGTTGAGCTTCATGTGTTCATCATGATCAGATCGACTGAGCTGGCCTCACTGAAACCCACACATGCTACTTTAAAACATTAATAAAACATTGATATTTACAGTAAGCTAACCCTTTAGCTTACTGTGCTTAAAATTTGGTTGAAAATGTTTGAAAAAGTAAAGCAGCTTTGTGAAATGGGATGATGAGTGTGATGAAGGGCTGAGAGTAGAAAAACAGCAATGAGTCAGAATAGGACAATGACTGGTACAAAGGACATTTAAGGTCGGATGGAAAGTGGTTGTAAAAAGATGAAGATGATGAATGGGTTAAAAAGGAGTAAATAAGAGAAGGCATCATAAAGGAGAAGAAAGATGAGTGGGATGAAGAGGAGGTGTGATGAGGCACGGGGGGATGAGAGGGACAGACTGGTCGTAAAGAAGAGGACGGTGAATGAAGTGGTTTATTGATGAGGATGAGGAAGATGAGTGGATAAATTGAAGGATGGATGAAGAGAATCAAATGGTTAGAGACCAAGTGGTCATGTAGAGGATGAGGAGGATGAGATGCTGTGAGGAGGAAGATTAAAACTTTGGTTTTAAACAGTCGAATTGATGGGATATTTTATAGATGAACTTTTATCATTTACTTTTAAATTAAACGTTCTTTTAAACAGTCGGCTTTTTGCCACATTGCAGTGAATGTGGATGACCAATATTTCCATCTAACTGGATCAGGCTGCCATCTTTGAAACATAAGTTTTTGTTTTCATGAAATCTTGTTTCTGTTCTCCATGTTGGGACTTTCTCCAGAGTTTGGTTTTACAGACGACTCATAAATAATAAATCCTGTTTGTGCAGCTGAAACTTGTTGTTAATGTAGAATAAACGAATCCAGAAGCCTTCCTGACATTTCCTTTAAATCCAAGCTGAAGTTGACAGTTAGGTGACGGGAGGCGAACATGGAGCCGTCTGTTGTCAGAGTTAACCACCGCCTGTCAGGCGCTGTGAGGCTCCGCTGCGCCGTCACGCCGCTGCCTCTTTGTCTCCAACATTAACGGCACAAAAGGTTCGACTGATTACCAAAAATATGAACGTCCCCAAGTCCACAGCTGTAAACTACGGTTCAGAAATTACACTTTTACAGTTTCTTTCTGATAAGCATGATCGTTAATGATGCTTTATGTGTCGTTAAAGTTTTAAAATCATGTATTTAATAATTGTCTATAAACGCTAAAGTCAGACTGTGAGTTATCATTTAATTTCTGAAATCCAACCAAATCAGACCAGAATCAAATGTTGAAATGTAAAAATTAATGAATCATTTGAACAATTATAACTTTAAATAGATTTAGTTCCAATTTTAAAACTAAAAAAAATCCTGTGAAGATATTAGAGTTGATCCAAAGTGTTTGAGGTTTAAAAAATGTAGGTTATTTAGTGTCACAATTTCAAACTAAACATTTAACTTGCTAACTAATTGTTTAGTTTGAAACTGAATATTTAGCTTCAAACTAAATGTTTGAAATTAAATATTTGGCTTCACACTAAATGTTTAGTTTGGAGCTAAATACTTTAGAGTTGAATGTTTAGTTTGAAGTTAAATTGCTAATTAAATATTTAGCTTCAAACTAAAATTTAGCTCTCTAACTAATAAGTAAGTCCAGCAGTTTTGGAGGCTCTGCCGTCCCGAGTTGGTGAAGATTTTCATGTTGACTGGCTGAGCAGGCGGTGGCTGTCAGGATACTTTTCTCTGGAAATATTAAACTGGTTTCTGCTTAATTCCGTATGAAAAGCCTCCAACATGTCTGAAGGTTTCAGATCAAACTCTGAGTCCTCGCTGTCCGGCGCAGCCAGGCGGATTTCAGCTCTGCAGGATTTTCCTCCTGCAACTGTTTGATTCAGAAAGCCTCCAGTTATAGAGGCTATAAGGCTTCGTCACATGGTGTGTGTGTGTGTGTGTGTGTGTGTGTGTGTGTGTGTGTGTGTGTGTGTGTGTGTGTGTGTGTGTGTGTGTGTGTGTGTGTGTGTGAACCACTTTAAAATGAAGAACAGCTCTGTGTCACTACCTGTATTTGATCTGTATTTTGCACTTCATGTTTCCTGCAGCAGAACCTGAAACCTGGCTGATGTTTCATGTTTACAGGATTGAGTAGAAACCTTTAAAAACTAAAGGTTCAGGTCTGCAGACATGGAGAAACCTGGAGGTGAAGGTTTTCTTCTGCTGAGGCCTCCAGGTGAAACCACCGCACAGCGTTCAGTTAAATGTCTCTGAACGATGTTAACGGCTCGTTTTTCAGTTCTGTCCCACCACAAAACTATGTTTATTAAATGAGCTGCAGGTTTCATTGATGCTGCAGCGGCCCGTCGCCGTCCAGCGTTATGATTATGTATTGTATGCGTATATTTCGCTGATTAGAATCAATTTTACTAGAAAGAGGAACACAAATCCTTGTTTAATATTTCTTCTCTAATTCCCTGATCTGAAATCTCATGAATCTTAGCAGCCTGGGTTTGTATTTATTTGTATAGAAAGTTGAAAATAGCTTTACTTTGTTGTCCCCTTGACTTATAAATTAGATTTTTACTTTTAGTAACATACATAAATCAACAGATTTATGTATCATCTGAATAATTTTCTCTTCTTTGTGCTGTTACTGTGTTTCTTATATCAGATAAAATGTATCATTTAGCTTTAGCATCTCATACACTCCAGACTTGGCTTTATGTTTGGGTTCAAATGTGGGTCATAAAAATACAGCCAAGGAATTTCTGTAGAAAACTACAATATCTTAAATATTTTCTCAGTGTCTTTTTGAGACTTTGTCGTTTTCCTGGGTTGGACAGCCGGTCTCCAGACTGCTGGACTTTAATCTGACCTTTAGCTTGTTGCTCATTTCAGAGAAGCAGAAACTTTACGACTTCCACCCTGCAGTAAAGACAAACTGGTGATTCTTTCAACAACCTGATATGAGTTTCTAAATGCATGTTGATGCGTTTTTGGCGAGCAGCATGGAGCCGCAGCCTGAGGAAGCGGCGCCGACACGGCGGCTCTGAAATGTGAGAGCTCATTAGCCGTTCGCACCTCGTCCACACGTCTGCAGCAGACAGAGGGAGGGAGCCTCACATGTTGGTCTGATGATGATGATGATGATGATGACTCATCGATTCCCCTTCAAATGACCGACAGCAGAAGCTCCAGAGATGAGCCTGGCTCTGGTACCGGTACCGGTTCTGGTTCTGCCAGACAGACGAAGGGTTAAACCTGATCTGATCCTGATAATCGCCGTGACGAATCAATCAACCACAAACTGGATGATAAAAGTTTTCAGTCTGGTGTTTTGGTCTCAGCTAGCAGAGATTTCATAGTTCATTTTATTTGTTGCTTCTGTTGTTTCATTTATTTTGAATATTTTAAATGTCTTCTGGTGTTAAAAGTTTATCGATAAAACTTTACCATGACAGACCTAAATGTGTTTTCACAGAACGACATGAAGTCCAGATCCAGAACTCATTCCTTCATTCTCACTCAACTGGAGACTCGGAAAGAAAACTATTATATGGAGGAACAACAAACACAGAGCAGCAATTAAGTCAAAACTGTACAAAAGTATATAAACAATTTACATTTAAGTTAAAAAAAACCTTCTTAGTCTGTGAATCTGTTCCGCTCCGTCTTTTGAGTAAGTCGCTGTGATTCTGTTTGATCGTTTTCCTGTAACTCAGAAGAATCTGGTGTTTCTTTCCAGTCTGTAAACTCCTGCAGCTCAGGTCGATCGATCACTTCTGAACCGATCAATGTTCCACCAATCAGCCTCCAGTCGACTCAATAAACCTTCTAATTCTGTCCGTTTGAGTGAAATATGACGGTAATGAACATGTGTAAATATTGCTGGCAGCTGTCTGAGGCGTTTTCCTCTGTGAACGATGAACGTCAGGCGGTTTGGACCTGCTCTCTCCTCCCAGGCTGAGCAGCTGGTTCTCAGATTTCAGCTGAGTTTTTCTTCCTGTAGAGACTAAAAGTGTGTTTTCCTTCCAGTGCCTTTCCGTGAGGCCCCTGCCTACTCCAAGCGCCGGCGGGGTCCGTCCTCTGGCAGCGGAAACGGCCAGTCCCCGTCCTCGCTGTCGGCGCCCCGGGTCCTCCTGCGCTCCAACAGCGACAACAACCTTTCTGTGAGCCAGTACCAGCAGCAGCAGCACGGTTCCCCTGGAAACTGGGCCCCCCATCTGCAGCAGCACCAGAGCCACCAACATCGGGCCCCCCAGCAGGGCCACGCGCAGCCTGGCTCCTCCGCTTTGCACCGCAGCCTGTCCCCCCAGCTGGTCCAGCAGATGCCCAGCGGCAGCCCCAATGGCAACGTGGTGGTCCGCACTATGGGGCGGGGGGCCAGGAGCCGCTCCCCCTCCCTCAGTCGGCTGGGCGAGGAGAGCCGGCGGGCTCAGACCGCACAGCGCCAGCCCAGGTGAGTCCACAACGCCGCCTGGCACCAACAGCCTCTCTGGGATTATTCTCTGGTTCCTTCAGCTGGACTCCTTATGATCTACGGTGTTTCTATAGAGCTGCAGTGAGGTCAGTTCAGAGGGATCAAAGGGTTAAAGGTCGCAGAAGAGAACGATAGGGAAGAAGAAAATAAGCAACATTTTCTCATATTGTGCAGCGCTGATATGAAGATGTTTCCATCTCTCCATTGGCACAAACATCTGATTTATTAGAGTATTCTACAGTTTCTGGTCTTCAGACAAAACTTATGATAGCAGTTATCATGTCCAGGTAATAATTCAGGATGTTTTCCACCTGACAGTCCAGTAGACTCGGTTCAATGAGGGATCAGAACTTCATCATCTGCTCCACCTCCAGCTGCTCTGGTTCTTTCTCTCTGCTCTGAGTCAAACCAACCTGTTCCCCTCCTGGCCTCTAGGGGCGCTGAACTGAGAAACACTAGAGGAAACACAAAGACCTTCAGAGTGCAACTTCCTTCTTCATGAAATGGAACTAAAAATGTAGTTGGATAATTTCTCTCTTATCTTTGGCTAAAAACCAAGACACATTTCCCCTGCTAGCGCTAGGCTAGCACGTTTGTTTGGGTAGCATTTACCCAGAATGCCCTGCGCTGCAGTGCACTTCCTGCTTTTGGGGCGGTCTCCGGTCTGCTTGTTTGTATTTGAACCTTTTCTGCTTCTGCTGGTTTCCAGATAACGTGAATGTGTTAAAGTCAAAATGTCCCAATTTTTTATTTGGCAACAGAGGAAAATCCCTTGGTTAACCTTCAGCCTAACTCAAAACACTTTTAAAAGAAAAATCTAATTGCAAAAAGAAAACAGAAGGAAGACAGCTTAAACTTCGGATCCAGTCCAGAGGTCAGGATCCGACCTCTGGACTGCATGAGGTGATGCTCTGCTGTGGTTCTTTGTTGAAGCTGTTTTTGCTTCTGGGTGGTTGGAATTTCTTGAAACCCAGCTGGAAAAAAAACTGGGAAAATTCAGCAGCTCTCCTGCCGGCTGCTGAATGCCTGCTTGTTCTTGGTCCTTATGAAGGTCAGAGCCGTTCAATGTTCTTCTGCTGTGATGAAGTGAGTCATCATCTGAACTGGAGGACACCATTATTTCTCATTCTATAAATACACACAAGAGACTTTCTGCACAGTGTCTCAATTATCTTTTAATATTAGTTTTTGTAAACCTACATGTTTTGACTGTCACTTGCTGCCATTACACCTGAATTTTCCCACTGGGGAACAATAAAGTTATTATTATTCTATTAATAAACTCACCTGCTTCAGTCTGCGAACCTCCTGTGCATAAAAATCCAATTCAGATTTCGGTCACCCCCATCAATCATGCAAATTCCTAAACACTCAAGCATAAAAACAACTAAAAAGGAAATAGAAGCAAAACAGCAAATATAAAACTGACTAAAAAGTTAGCTATGCTAACTCTAAAACACTGATCATCATTAGTTCTGCTGACGTTAAGCTGCTATTCCAACACAGAACTTAGCAAAAGCTAATTCTAAGGTGCTAAGTTCAACCATTTTCATAGGCAGCAAAGTTACCAAAAAAGCTAATGTGCTAAATGAAAAATTAGCTGTGCTATTAGCGCATTGGCAGAAGTTCCTATTGCTGAACGCTGCGAACTCACTCCACACGACGGAAGTCCTCCAGACCACCAGGTGGAGTCTGGAGCAGGTTATGTTACCTGTAAATATGCTGCCGATCAATAATGTTGAAAACGACGGCGTGTTTGAAATACACTTCCTCTAATTTTATTCCAGACATCCCGTCTTTGCTGAGGGTTTGGTCCGGTATGTTGTGTCAGTCAACTGCCCCTAGTGGTCTGGAGGACTTGTGTTTTGTGGAGCTTAAATAGTTCACAATTTAAAATTTAACAAGTTTAATAATTAGCTCTAAATTGAACATTCAGTTTAGAGCTAAATATTTAGTTTGCAAACAATATTTTTGTGTAAACAAAATAATTAGCTAGCTAAATAGTTTGCCAGTTACATATTTAGCTCGCTAACAAAAGCGTGGAGCTAAATGGTTACTTGTAAACTAAATATTCAGCGATCTTATTAAATATTTAGTTTGAAACTGTGACATATATAAATGAATGAATAATGTGGTGAAATATTAACCCCTTTTTTCGTGTCTTTACAAACTAAAAGAGCCAAATTACTGATGTTAACTTCTGATGTGTAACTAAACACTTGGTTTGAAAGATAAGAGTTGTGAATAATAAAGTTTTTGAAGTTAACGGTGCAAAAAGGCAATGGAGTAACAGAGGCAACATGATGTTTAACAGTCAGGACAACTGATCTGTGTTTGATGCAGCAAGAGATAAAGAATCACTTCTGATTTAATGTTTTTTCAACATTATGAACACAAACCAAAATGATTTTGAAATAAATGCTCCCCTCTCATACAAACACACACTGAGCCGCTGTGTGAGTTTCAGAGCTGATGCTCCTCTGCCTCCTGTTTAACTGTTCAGTCAGGATTTCCTGCTGGTTCAGATGAAAAATCTCCTGGTTTTCAGATCAGATTTTACTATGAAAGATAATTACCTCGAGGGATCCTTAACCGTTCCTCATGAACGAAGTAAAAATGCTCCAAAATGTCAAAAACCCTTCATTAACAGCAGATTTCATATTTTTAACAACACAAAATGATAAAAAAAAGAACTTTCTCACTCTGGCTTTTTCATTTTTAGGATATAAAGTATTAAATCCATAAAAGGAGAAGGTTTTTCCTGTAGTAGCTATTTTTGGTGGTGGGCTGTTTCTTCGTCTACTGTACCTACAGTTTTCACCCCCCATGGCTTCCTCTGGGAAACGTGCCACCACAAAGACTCCACTGTAGCCACAGCAACGGTTGCCATGGCTGCCTGGTTATGGGATGCCTCAGATGCTACATGTGGATGTATGCATGCACAGGTTCATTCAGAAACCTGCTCAGCATCTGTGCAGCAGATAAACGATGGGAGAGTGATGTAACTGTCAATCCAGATTAAGACACCTGATCCCTGCTTCTTCCTCCTCCTCTTCCTCCTCTTCCTCCTCCACTCTCTTGGCAGATGGGCGCATTCGGATCGCTGCCCACTCTCTGTAGCTCACACTTCTCATACGTTCCTTTACATTAAGGTGTGAGAAGAGGATGATGGAGGAAGCTGCAGTCGTCGTCTGACTGCGTGTTTCTGACTCGGCCGTAAAGCAAAATGAACAGCAGTCAGAAAGTTGAAGGTTCGATTCCAGCTTCACGTGATCCGGGTATCGCTGTGCCAACGTGTTTCTGTTAAAGACTCGGTTTGCTTTTCCAGCACCGACAGTCAAGTTGATTATTAAAAATGGCTTCTTCATTTATTATCTGTTTTTATTCTGTGTTTTTGTGAAGGATCATCATTCATGATGACCTTTAAACTGGAGCTGCAACTAATGATTATTTCAGTTTTAGTTTTTTAAATAAGAAAATAAAACTTGCATTGATGCAGGAACACGCCATTCCTTTAGAAGTGCCTGTGAAGAGCTCAACCCATTCTGCTTCCTTTAACTCCAGTGTAATGCAGACTGATCTGTCGACTGTTTGGACATTTTTAGGTAGGACCGATTTACAGAAAAATATGTTGTTTTTTGTCTTAATTGCAAAATGTTGATATTTTGTCACAGTTTTGGCTTAATTGCTGCTCTGACTGTTGTTTTTGCTGTAAATAACCTTTTTTCCGTCTGTGTGCTCTAGTTAGTGATTATTCGATTAATGTGCTAGTTGATTATTTTAATAATAGATTCTTCATCATTAATCCAATTAATCATTTCAACCTAAATTTAAACCTCATAAATTTGTCCCAGAATCCCAGCTGTAGTTTGTTAACACTGTAGTTTAAAATAAACGCTGCCGCCCCGGTCAGCTGGTCTCCTTTCCCCACCAGCATCAGGACCAAACAGCCTCTGGAGTGAGTCTGGTTGATGCCACCTGGTGGATATAAACAGCTGAGTTTATGACGATAATCGGCCCTGATGATTTGAAATCGGGGATCAGGTCCGATCTGCGGCTCTGTCTCGGCGTTTCAGGGGTTTCATGTGGAGAAACCGTCAGTCTGAGCAGAAAACATGAATCCTGATGGGATCCTGGTCGGCTGATTGGCTGTCTTAAGCATCAGCATGGGCAGGTTGCACTGATGGAACAGGAAATTGTGTTAGTATGACCTTTGACCTCGATTCCAGTGTTTTTGCTGCTTCTTTCATTGAATTGATGAAAACAAACCAAACTGTGGAGTTTTAAACCTGGTTCTGATAGAAACTGTTTATGTTTGTGATGGTAGGACCTGAAAGGCTTTTGCTGGGATTCTGACAGCTTCTAACAGTTGCTATGGAGACGCTTCTGTCATTAACATGCAGTTTTTTCCTCCATTGCTGTTGTTATCATGTGGTGGGAAGATCATTTCTCCTTCCCCATTTTGAAGAGGCATTAATAGAAATGGAAATGAAAAGTCATGGAAAACCAATAAAAATAATAAATTACCAAAATGTTTTGTTAGAAAACGTTTGGTTTTGACATTTGTTGTTTTCATCAGTTGTTTTTTGTTATATCTTCATTCTTATTACACTTCTTTCTTCTTTCGGCGGCAGATCTCTCACCTCCTACAGCTCAACAGATAAACTTTATAATCACATAATGCAGGATTTAAACCTACATGATGTTTGGATGCGTTTCATTTTTTTACCATCTGAAAATCGTTTTTTTTTTTTTTTGCTAAAGCAGATAATTGAAAATAAATGTAAAAAAACAACAACTGATCAGAATGAAGCTTTAATTTAGCCAAATAAATGTGTGGATGTGAATCAGGTTCACTGAGTGAAGACGTCCACATCCTTCATCTCTGGATTAAATCTCTGATCTCTGCAGAAACATCTACTGTAAATCTTGGTAGCACTTTTTTATTTTACATTTTAGATCTGAAAAACTACAGAATT